TGAACTTACTAAAAGAACGCTTAAGGAATGAGTTGTAAAAGAGCTTATCTATCCCATGAAATTGTATGGTATCATAGAATGAATGACAAGGAACAAATACTATATTTATGTTTTCAAATTTAAAGCACGAATGTAAATATAGAATATATCAATTTAAAAGCGATGATAGTACTAAGACTGATGATAAGGATTAAGACTCGTTAATTCAAGAGTTAACTCTATTTAGCAGGTTATATTATCCATGATTAAAAAACTGTAAGATCCTCAAAACCGACAGAAATTAATTTGTTGATTGAATCATTTATTCACTAACAACCAAACGATAGCTGATAATTCATGAAGAGACTGTCAAAGTTTTTTTTTATTTTTTTCTTCTATCAGTAGCCTTTTAAAAGAAATATCAAAAACAAAATATATATCATATTTATATTATTATTATGTTGAGGCTAGTTGAGTCAGTGCACTTGAGCACTTTTACTTTCTATTAACTACGAGGTTTCTTCTTAACCCCTCTTTACGCCTTGTCTGGATTATTGTTTATAACTTTATCAGATCTGCATACCTCCCCGAGGAGCTTGTAACCATTCTGAGATTCAATAACGCGGTGTTGATAAGCCTGTCAGTTTTCGTAAATAATTTCAGGGCTCTATACATATTTATAATATAGATAAATTATCAACTCAATTGAATATTTTTGTGGCCCTGAAAAGGGCCTTTTGAATAAGTGGTGTTTGTTTGATATAACGCAATTTACTTGGAACTAGTATACTTAGTGACAGCTTTTGTTCCTTCACTAACTGCGTGCTTAGCCAGTTCACCGGGAAGTAAAAGACGAACAGCAGTTTGAATCTCCCGACTAGTAATGGTGGAGCGCTTATTGTAGTGTGCTAAGCGCGAAGCCTCAGCAGCAATACGTTCGAATATGTCATTCACGAAGCTGTTCATGATGCTAATGGCTTTCGATGATATACCAGTATCGGGGTGGACTTGCTTTAACACTTTATAAATGTAGATAGCATAGCTCTCCTTCCTCCTGCGCTTCTTCTTCTTATCGTTTCTGGTTATATTTTTCTGAGCCTTTCCATCTTTTTTGGCTGCTTTTCCGCTAGTTTTTGGTGGCATGATTTCTGATTTTAAATTTTAATCGTCGATTTGGATTTTTTTTTTTTTTTTTGCAGTAGGGGGAAAGCATCAAAAGCCACAGTGTGAGACTTGAACCCACTAAAACCACCTCTTAGGAATGCATAGAGAATAGATTCCAAGCAAGGGACCGTGAAGGTCCAGGACTAGGAACCCCATTCCAGTTTCAACGATTGGAGTGAAAACAATTACTAGTAAGGCTTAACATTTACAATAGTAAATATATCTAAGCCATGAAATTTGAAGAATGAAAACGGTGAGACGGAATACTACTTAAATTGAGTTTGAGGAGGCTATTTATAAGTACACACGTTGAAGGGGATTACTGTAACCACGGTTGTAAAACGGGATTACAGGGGGAGATTGGGCAATGTCGTCCAGGAGGAGGGATAGGAACTGGGGAGGTTTATGCCTCATAGCGAGTAACAGATCAGTTGGTAGCTGATCAGATCTCAGAACGTCGGGGGGGAGGTTATGGGCCCTAGTAAAGTATCGACGAGCTTGGGACAATAGATAATCGTCAAGCCGCTCGATATTGGCGGATTTGTAAACAAAATTTATACGGTGATGTTTGCCATTAGGCTTGCGCTTGTAATTTATACAGTCGCGGAGAATTTTTCTTTCTAACGCACGTAGGCGTTCCATTTGAGCCGAGGAGATGCCTGACCAGATGGGAAAGGAGTAGGTGGAAAGAGGGCGAATGAGTTGTTTATAGCACAAGAGTTTTGCTTGAATATTTAGCTGGTTGTGGCGTCTTAACGCATTTTTAAGGCTCATATGGCGGAAGGACACATTCTTGACAATATAATCGATGTGGGGAATGAAGTTATGTTTGGGAGAGAACATAACTCCAAGGTACTTAAACTTGTCAACAAGTTTAATGGGGGTCCCATTAAGTTTAAGCTTAATGTTAGAGGGGTTATAACTGCTTGGACGATTTCGTGCATAGCCAGTGAAGGCAATGGCAGAGACTTTGAGGGGGTTTAATTTGAGCTTCCACTTATGGTAAAAGCAAGAAAGATTTCCTAAATGCTGGTTTAAGGAGTTAGAGACCCTGGGAGTATAAGACGATTTGGAGTATATTAGACAGTCATCTGCAAAGCAGAGCTGCTTGACATTTGGGGGAGGGATAGGAATGTCTGAAGTGTAGATGTTAAAGAGTATGGGACCAAGTACAGAACCCTGAGGGACACCAGCTGCTACAAGGAATTCCCTAGAAAGGCTAGAACCAACACGAACCATAAATTTTCTTCCTGACACAAATTGGTAGACAATGCTACAAAGGAGCGGGGGGAAATTGAATTGGTGGAGCTTGTAGACAAGGCCTTCAATCCAAACAGTATCAAAAGCTTTCTCAATATCTAGGCTCACAGCCACGGTGGGTTGAGAGTTATAGAGACCTACACAGATATCACTTTGGAAAATACTAAGCGCGTCTGTGGTTGAGGTTTTGTTACGAAAACCAAATTGGAAGTTCGGGAGAAGTCGTTTTTCTGTTATGTGGGACTTAAGTTGACTAGCAATGAATGATTCATAAAGTTTACTTAGTGAGCTAAGTAAGGAAATGGGACGGTAGCTTGAGGGGAGAGTATGAGGCTTACCGCTTTTATGGACAGGTATGACAATGGCTCTCTTCCAAGGCCTGGGAAAGTGACCAATGTTGTAAGAGTGATTAAAGATAATCGCACATGTGCAAAAAAAGAGAGGAGACAGATTTCGCATAGCGTGGTTGGAGATTCTATCCAGTCCAGAAGATTTTTTAGGTCTTTTTGACTTAAGGATGGTGAAGAGACCTGATGGAGTAATGAACCCGTTTGGGTCAAGAGTATTAGCACTGTTGGCTGGGTAGCTGGTGCTGAAGTTAGTAATGCTTTGTCCGAAGTTTTCGTAATGGTCTCGGACAAAATTGCAGACCGTTGCATTGAAATTTGGATTTCCATCACCGAGGGAGACCTTATGATAAAGCTCAAAGGTTTCGCCAAATATATTGGCTTTGGTTGAGTCATCAGAAAAACTTCTGTTATTGATGGTGATGTCAGGAGTGACTTTTTTAATGCCACAGATCTGCTTAACTTTTTTGAAGACATCAGAGTCGCATTTAGCAGAACGAACTAAGGCATTGAAATGATTATTTCTAGCCAACTTGATCCTTTGGGTAAGGATATTATCAAGAGTGGAAATTATAGCTCGCATGAGCTGAAATCGAGGAGAGTTAGTTTGCCTGAGGCGATATAGCCTACGGCGAAGAACTTTGCGACGTTGGATTAGATCAACAGTAAGAGGATCAAGAGGAACCTGGTGGCACTTTTTAAGAAGGGTCAGTGGGACATGCTCTTCGATAGTTGCAGAAAGAATGCTCTCAAGTTGTGAAGTGACACAGTCAATTTCATTAGGTGATAGGTTCCTATTTACAGGAAGGTCAAGGGAGGAAATCATTCTATCAAGAGTGGAATTGAAGCTGTCCCAGCAGGTGGCAGCGAAATTTAAATACGTACGAGGGGCAGATAGGAGGGCTCTACAGCCTGTGAGAGGTAAAACAACAGCCTGATGGTCAGCAACGCCATCAACGACTGAAGTATTTCCAATCATGTCGGAGAGACAGTTGTCAGTGAAGAAAAAGTCGAGTGTCGCATTGAAGCGTGTTGGCTCGTTGGGGGCAACAAGATTAATATTGAGGTTAATACAATTGTTTATATACCAGTTGTATAATCTGGTACCATTAATGCAGTTTTGAGCGTTATTCCAAAAGTAGTGTTTACTATTGAAGTCACCTCCAATAACAAATGGATTTGAAGAAAGGTTTATTAATTTAGTGAGGTCATTAGGGTCAATAGATTGGGATATAGAGGGCGTGTAATACACGCAGAATAAATCAAGATTAAAGTTATTTTCGAGGAGAAGAGTGATACCGCAAGCTTCAAATGAGGAGAGTTGAGGAATACGAAGTTCGGAAAAAGCGTATGTTGCCTTAAGAAGGATTGCAACCCCTCCACCAGGACCAACCCTATCGAAACGGACGACATTGTAACCAGAGAAAGTAAGAGTGAAACCAGGATTGATTCTGGTTTCAACAGCAAGGAGAACATCAGGCTTACTATGCGTAAGAAAGTTTTGAAAAACTTCACGCTTAAGCTCTGAGCGGAGAGAGTTTACGTTTATAAGAATAATCTTAAGATTATTCATATAAAACGAACTCAAATACTTTACGAGTGAGGAAGACCTTACGCTCTACTTGTGAGGTGAGAGTGGAAAATTGTTGCTTAATACTTAAAGCAAACGAAAACAATGATTCAATATCAGGCATATGAGAGCCAATATTTGCGCCTGAAGTGCCAGAGGATTTATGAGAGCTATTAATTGGAGCAGGGTGGAAAATTTTTTTTGGATTGAGAGGCTGAGCAGCGGACGCAGAGGACGCAACAGTGCGCGGAGGAGCACTAGAAATCGCAGCCATAGAAGCAAAAGAGGAACCAGGCTTGACAAAATTAGTCGGAAGACGGTTAGGGGTTTCAGCCGTTGAGGCTTTAGATTTGGCATTGCGAGAAGCACGAAGCTCTTTAAATTTAGAGCACCTGTAATTTGCTGGGTGGCCAGTCTGACCACAGTTACAGCATTTGGGAAGGATCTCCGGGATTTGTTGCTTTGTCACTGGATCAAAGGCTTTAGGCGGAAGGGTGCAAGCACCTTTAGAATGCGAACCACCACAACGGACGCAACGAGAGGGAAAGTTGCAGAATTTGGCGGTATGGACCCCGTCGATTTGGAGCAATTTCCGTTTCTATATAAACATTTTTCAAACGAAAGTTTAAAGCAATTTTTTATTTTAAATTGCGTTTAGAAAAAGTATATGAGATAATTTGTCGGCATCATTAAAAAAAAATAGATCCAATTTTTATAAATCTCAACTACTAGAAACTCAACTCAACTATGTCTGGTCGTGGTAAAGGTGGTAAAGTTAAAGGCAAGGCAAAGTCACGATCAAATCGTGCTGGATTACAATTTCCAGTTGGTCGTATTCATCGATTATTGCGTAAAGGCAATTATGCTGAACGCGTTGGTGCAGGTGCTCCAGTCTACTTAGCTGCCGTTATGGAATATTTGGCTGCTGAAGTTCTTGAATTGGCTGGCAATGCAGCACGCGATAATAAGAAGACAAGAATCATTCCTCGTCATTTACAGTTGGCCATACGTAATGATGAAGAATTGAACAAATTATTGTCTGGTGTTACAATTGCACAAGGTGGTGTACTACCAAACATTCAGGCTGTACTTTTGCCAAAGAAAACAGAAAAGAAGGCTTAAATTATTTTATTTTATTTATTAAAATACGAATACATATACGTGGAGAATTAACTATCAATTAATCCGTCCTTTTCAGGACGACAAAATTTATTTTATTAAAGAAAATGTATTTCATTAAATCAATTGATATAAATATTGTACATACTATCATACCTACCCTACTAACTTACACAAGCCATACTTTAAAACACTTAACAATCAATCATTTCTTGCCTCGCCCTTCTGTTCCGTTACATTCCTGGAAGACCTTCATGAAATCGAAATCTTCGAAAATTGTAAATCAGCCTACATAACAGATAAAATACATAGCATTGTTAGTGTATAACTTAACACTGCGTTTTGCTACATAGTAATAATTTTTTTTTTGTTTTTGGGCAGCAGGTATCAACCAGTTTTTATACATACGAGTGTGTATGCGTTCCAATTGACTTCCTAGAAAGCAGGTTCGCTGTGCCACTATTTTTTAAGAATGCAAGTTTATTATTCAGGGTTAGATAATTGAAGTGTTACCTATTCAAGCGATCACATTATTTTTTTATTGATTCAAATTACAAAAATTTGTGAAAATAATTAAAATTTCACAATCCATTCACTCTAGCTTGATGTGGCCACCTTTTGTCTTGACTATGGCTGTGATCTTCCAGTATTTTGGCCTATTCCTGAATAAAAGCTTTCTTCAGCGTATCGAAACTGGCTTATTTTTTAGTTCTCAACTTGCTCTCCAAATTGGCCCAGCGTAACAACTCCTTTGCTCATTCGAGTTTAACTTTTTGTTGCTTTGGTGCAAGATCTTGTGCCTTGGAACTTTTAAAGCTTTACCTTGAGCTTATTTTGGAAAATGCGTCAGATGCTTCGTTCAGATATTATCGGTTCTTTGGCCATTTGATTAGTACTACGACATGGATTTCGTTTAAGTCGAGCCTTCACTTTCCGAACCATTTTAGGCAATGTTGCTGTTTTTTTTTCGTCCACCACTATAGCATTTGGTGACTCTGCCTGAGCTATTATAACGATTTAAGGTACGATACACAAACATTTTATTCACATTGAGATATTTGAGCTCAAGCACAATAGCTAGTTGTAATTTTCCAACCAAATATAATGCAATCACACTTATTTTTTAATTCCATTTCGAATAATATTAGTTCTATAAAACTTAGACGCAAATGCTTGTGGTAATTTGTAAACAATATAAATAGCTGTCATTCATATGAATTTGACGTAGTTGGCAATATCAGTTTGACAAACATATCTCTGTGTAATTTGTAACACTTCAATCGCCTAACCCTTTATATTATTAAGAATTTTTTAATATTTATCATAGATTCGCGTATCAGTAAATAGATACATAAATCTTCGCAGGTAGTATAATCTAAGTTACAATAATATTAATATTATATTTGTTACTAATAAAAATGTACAAAACAAATAACGTTGCCAGGTCAATAGCATAAAGTTTCATAATTACCTTTTTGAAATCAAGAAACTAATAATTTTGTGCCAAATATTTGTATTTATTATTAAATAAATGTGATACAATTATTAAAAAACATTAATATTCATAATATAAAGAAGGAAACATATAAAAAATAATTATTTTTCTTTTAAAAGGTTTAAAATTTATTTATTTATTTACTAAACATCTTATAAAATTTTCAAAATGGTAACACCTAATTTATCTCATTAGAAATTCTGGTATGTACCAACAATCGCTGCCATACCGACATAATTGACTATTTCCCCTAAATATACTCGAACTCGCACACGGCCTAAATGTTTACTATTATTATCATAGTTACTATTTCAATATTTTGGTATTGTAATATTTATTATTACAGATAAATTATTTAAAGGTAGAGTTTTTAAAATTTGTATCTGAATTAGTTTTATAAAATATTCTATATTTTATAAAAGATTTATGGCAGTAGATGGAAAACATCCGAAGCCACTGTGTGAGTCTTGAACCTACTAAAACTAGCTCTTAGGAATGACTATGGAAGATTGCAGCCGCAAGTTTATATATATACTTCAGTATCTATTTAAATGTTATCCATATCCATGTTAGTTTATAAAAAAATTCATCTTAAATTTTAACATTTTATGTCGTATATCACTCCTTATAAAAATGTTAGAATACGCACATCTAATTTTAATTTTATTTTAATTATAAAGTAATAAAAAGAACATTTTTTTTAAATATACATATTTAATAAAATACTTATAATAGTCAAAGTTAAATGATTAAATTATAATTATAAAAGAAAAAGTAAAATGATTTCATTCTTATATATTTTTAATCATGTATGTAGATATAATTTTTTTTTATGAATTCTATTAAGTAGGATACGTACAGTTGTTATATTCGAATGATATTGAAAACTATAAATTTAATTGCTGATATGTTATTAATAACGTTTATATATAATAATTTTTCACATGATTAAAAATTATTTAAAACTTGTAATAAAATTTTAAAAATAATACGTATAGAAAATCTTAAAACATATTTTAAAGTAAACGAATTCAATGTAACATGTTAACATTATGGATGGATATCTAATCTCAAATAGACACTATTTGATATAATTAAAAGTGATAATCTTATATTCTAATTAAAATACAATATATTTATTTATAATTATTTCTATTAGTGCTTTAAAATTTTAAACTTTTATATAAATTGAGTTAATATTTCAAAATAGGATAAAACATAAGCATTCAAAATGTTAAAACTGACGTTTTTATGCATCTCGTGTTTTATTAAATTTGCATTTATAAATATATGAAATATATAAAACCATATATATAATTTAACAGAGAATTGAATAAACTATTTAATAAATAATTTAATATATAAATTATACAAAAGATAACTTTAAAATATTCTAATTTATTAACAAGTTCAACTATAGATTTACAAAATTTAAAGTTTAAACCAATTTTTATATATTTTATATAATTATAATTAGTATAAAAATGAATGTAATAAAATATTCAATATCTTCTTTACTTAATTTGATTTAAATAATTGTGTTTAATTTACTTGGTCTATTTAAAATTAATAATAAATGTTGAAAAATTTTTTCAAACTCAGTAGAAATATGTATTAATGAAAAATTTTTATAAATGCGCTCTTCTCGGCGCTTCGTACAAAGTGAGCTAAGCTACCATAAAAATGCGAAAAAATATTCATAAGTAAGAATATTACGGAATATTAAAAAGCAAATATGTCTGAAGCTGTTGCCGTTGCAAATACAGATTCTCCAAAGGAGGTAACTGCCGTTCCTGAAAAGAAAGTTGCTGTTAAAAAGGCAACAAAAGTAAAAAAACCTTCTGCAGCTCCATCTCA